ATCATTTAAGAAACTATATGGTAGTTTGCGAACATTAGAATTTTTACTAATGATACTTTCATGTCACTTCTGAGATAGGTTAAACATCTGGTAGAAATGAATAATGCAGACTTAAATATTTCATGTCGAAATACCTCAACATACTTAATAACATTTTATTTTTTGTGGCAGCTATTCCCAATTTGTTTTTGGAATTCCCGAAAAATATGCTAAATCACTTGTCGCAATGGAATTAAATTTTCAAAAATCAAATCTGTGTCATTAAAACTGTATTCTATCATATGTTTGTACAAAGTTTATTACTAAATCGGTTTATTGAACAATAAAAAATATTTTTTGTTTTAGCTATAGTTGAATAAAACGGTCATAATTTTCATTTACATGATGGACACATTTGACACTGCTGAGGTGCGTAGCAGGGACACATACGACACTCTCTCGATGTTGGTTTCGGAGTTTGCGTTGTTCTCGTTTCGAAAGTCCAAGCTGCCTTTGGTGCGGGTGGCAGCGTCAAACGTATTGGTTCTCGTGTGGGTGGTATCCAAATTGTTGATTGTTTCGTCGGCAAACAGTCTTTGCCACCGCAATTTACAGTTATTATGCAATTGCCACATGTTTTATCAGCAGCTAAAATTCAGAAAGTTTGTTGAAATTCACTTAAGAGTTTTGTTGAAATTCACTTAAGAGTCGTGATCAATGTAATTGAATCGCAATAAGAAACTGCGAAAAATGTTCTGTACATATTCCACAGCTGTAATTAAATACCTTGCGATAGTATATCTTGTAGTTGTATAGCTGACGCTTCACCTTGCAGTTGCGGGACATGCAATCTCATGTCTTGCACTCGCATATCGTATGGTTGCACGCCGAATGGCTGTATACTTTGCTTGTGTACAACCCGCGGTTGCATGTCTTGCAGTTGCATGTCGTGCGGTTGCACAACTTGGGGCTCTGCTCGCGGACTATAACTCCCCAAATGCATCGCATTTAATACCGATAGAAGCACGCAAGGGGGAAGAATAAGCTTGCAACACATAACTGAAATACACAATATTAATATCGAAATTTTTAAATTTATATTTGAGATTGTTGTAAGGTATGGCTTAGAAGATATTCAGAAAATTATTCCCCGTTAAACAAAGAAAAAAGTGCCCCAAAATTTCATTACTTATTCACTCTACTCATTAGAGGTGAATAAATAATGGAAATTTGATGAAATTTTGAAGTTATTTTTCAATCTTATTCCCGTCGAAATGATACAAACATCCAGTCCTTCATTACTCGTATCACACGTCAAACATCTGATGCTGACCACCAAATCGCATTCTTCTGTTTTTAACATGCTTTCAGTGGTTGAAATTTATATTTGATTCAAAAAAATTCGCCAACATTTTTTATCTAAATAACGCAACATTTTGCAAAATTTTTGGCTAAAATTTTTTACTTTGATCAAAGTTTGTTAGCATTCCTATTATATTCTTGTTCCTTTTATTATTTTGTTGGATGATCGAAGTGAATTTTTTGATAAGATTTACGAGAGTACAGATGATAAATTGAGTGAATTAGGATCGAAAATTCCTGAGAACATGTGATTCTATGATGAGATTTTTCTCTCGTATCTCTTAGATATTTTATAATGCATTTATTTTTATGCATACGTTCTGATTAATAAACAAATAATTGAAATTAATAATAATAATGATAGTATCTGAGAAATCAGTTCAATATTTACGGAAAATTTTTTGCACAGTTAATGATGTTGTTGAAAGTAATAAGAAGATTGCTGGTAATTTATTTGTTTCGTTGTTGAAAATGAAAATAGAAAATTAGTGTTGAAAATTTAAAATAAGCTATTACCCATTTAATCAGATGAAAATGTTCCTTGTATGCCAACGAGATGAAATCATCCGATTTGTTCAACCATCCTTTTAAAAATTAAAAATTATCCACAATTTTTATTTCGAAAACATTGTTAGAAAAAGATTTCCATATATATCGGAAATAAAGCAATAATTAGAAAAGAAGGTAGAATCTTTTTCTCCTTCATTTTTCATATCTTCTGTCCATTCCATGAAACTAATAAATAATGATATTAATAACATTTAGTGAAAACATTAAATAAACAATTACTTGTAAAAGAAGTCAGAAAAAAAAATTCAAGTTGTTTGAAATTTTTATAGTAGCACAATTTAAAATTTTTTGTCAAAATGTCCAATTTTTCTGCTTGAAACTATTTTCACGTTTTTTAAGGTTATTTCAAAATATTTATATGATAATATATTTGCTAATACATTGCTTATTGCACTCAAAAAATCCGTGAGTAATTAATTGATGATTGGAATTGTTCTTTAAAAATTAAATATTTTTGAACATTTTCATCGTTTTGCTAATTTATGTACTATTCATTCCGTCTTAGTATCAAAATATATTAAAATCACTAATAATTAGTAAATTATTTCGTCTCTATTTCAAAAATGAACTTTGGAAGCAAAAAAGTCAATTATTGTTTGCTTGTTATTTTTGAAGCGAATTAATAATTAATTCAAAAAACTGCATCAAAAAAATTTTTCTTTATTAGAATTTATTATATCTGCAAATGAGAATTTTTACTAGGTAAACTGTATGTTGCAAAACAGCCAAGAGTTTAAATGCGTAAAAAAAAAAAAAAACGCTACAATGCTATAATCGAGTAAGAAATTCCTGCAGTCGGCCTTTCTTACACAATCAATAAAGATCTCAAACGGAGAGTAATGTAATTCATTTCTGTTGAAGAGTGTAATAGTTCCAATGATGTAGCTGTGTTACTTCTAAATGAAATTTTCGCGTCGAAAAATTTTAAAAGTATTTCGTTGCAAATTCAATCTAGTGTGTGCGATAGCAAATTTATTCATATTCATTATATATTTTGGTATAAAATCTTAATTAATAGAATCTAGAAATCGTCACTAAAAACGAGCTTCTTCACGAAAAAGCTCAAACTGCTGTTATATTTGTGCAAATTGAAAATAAAGAACCAAATGAGTCAGGCAATGGACATTTCTACTAAAAATTAAAAGACAACGTGTTACTGGGAAAAATGATCGCACAAACAGCATTTGTGTTTGATGGGAAAGTATGGGCGTTAATAGTGATTTCTGAGTGCATTCAAAAAACTGAAATTTAAAAAGGATACCGGAAAAGTTTTTCAAACTTGAAAGTTGCTCCTATTCTTTACTATTTGTAGCCTACTAAGTAGACTTATGCACAAAATATTTATATACGACTGAACTTGTCACATGCACAACAAAGATGAATCATCCGACTTTCGAAAGCAATAGAACAAAATAGCTAAAGACTTTTTAGCAGTAATCGTCACCACAAACGCTGTGAATATTTTCGAAAATACATCAGTAAAATCAACTCGCCAGTCGGAGATAAAGAAATAAATACATGTAACACTTTTAAATAATTGCAAAATCAATGATGCTTCTCTTGTTTCTTCTCAAAACCAACACCTGGCACATAATTCTTCTCTGGATTGTGGAATAAAGAGTGATTACCATCACCCCATGGAAGTGGCTAAAAATATAGAAGGTAGGAAATTTTTAACAAGGAGTTTTAAGTAAAAGTGGAAAAATCGAGTTGTGTACAATAGTTTTTCTTAAAAAAAAAGGAGAATATAACATTCAACTCAAATTAAACTAACTTTGTTGCGAACGGTGAGGTATGGATAATGGACATATTTCTCTTGATCGAAATGACGCTCCATCTTATGTCCCAAATAAGTTACATATGCAAGGATCGAAAGTACCACTGGTGAACCAAACATTACCACAGTGTCGTAAAATTTGTCGTACTTGAAACGATCACGATCATCCGCCTCTTCGTCATAGTCTGCAACATAAACTTTTGCTGAATTTTACTAAACTTTACTTTTTTGGTTGCAATGCTGTTAATGAGTCTTTCCTGTAAAACTTATTTAGCATAGAAGCGTGACTAGTCATATGAAATATGAACTAAATATGAGTATTTTGTAACTTTTCCTTAAAAAAATTTTAAATAGTTCCTTATCGTGATAAAAATATTGACAATGAGGACTAACTTGTTGCGGGTTGCGCATTTTGCACTTGACTTGTGCTAAACGCTTTAGTCGCTTGGTTCAACCGAGTTCGAGTTAACTGAGAACGTGCAACGGAAAATAAATGATATAACAGCAGTGACATTTACGCTGAAAAATAATAAAGTTTGAGTCATACTAAACATAAAATATTGAAGTAACTCGTCAATCTAATAGATAACACACAAAATGAAATTAGAAAAATAGATTGAAATTAATAAGTTCGCAAAAGTGAATGTGAAACCATGACACGCAGCACCACGTAACCAACTTATCTCAAAACTTGATTGAAGTCATCGATTCCATGCCACGGGCCGTATGCACTCTGTGAAATGTTAATATCCCGGCACGTGCACTAGGCTTTTTTTAACGTTGGCATACATTTCTTGGCTCTAAGCACATTGATGGATTTTGTTATTGAGCTTTTCATTCACATGTATTCGTTGTTATCTGTTATCATTATTTTTGTTTAATCGTTACTTTGATTATTTTGCGTTTAGTCGTTCCATATCGTTTCTCGCAATATCACTGTTAGACTACGTTGTTAATCTGTTTGTCGGAAGAAATACGAAACAATTCTGGTTTTAACGTTTTCTTACTTCCTTTTATACGTTCATTTTGTGTGCATTTTTCGAAAAAATTTATATTTCTCAATTATCATTTGTAAATGTAAAAGCTTTAGATGTAAAACAGTGACTGGTTTTGTTTGCGTCGTGAATTTTTTAAATTTAAGAAATTTACTTCGATGAATTTATGTTAAAATGTACTGAATGAATATGTTTGAGAGGCAAAAAACTGAATTGCAGCTGTTGCAGTCAATCTTCAATGATGATCAATGTTTCATATCGATGACAGCAAATTTCAAGTTCACACTTATTTCTTCCATCGATACTAAATAGTTTATAATGCACTTTGTTCATTTATTTACTTTAAATATTAATTTGTCTGTTTAGGTATTGTTCAGTTTCTTACAAGCTTTTTTCTTTTTTTCTTTATTATTTAATACGATATAAAAATCTTGAAACGCATTCACTTTTCTTATTATCATAAACACTAATGTGAGTTATCCAAAGAATTACATTTATTTTTTGGGTGAATCCTCTACAGTATTGTTGCCATTTTTCTTTTTTTTGGTTGAACGCTAACTAAAAAAGAAAACAAGAAATTACGTATGGGAAGGCAATTTCTCGTCTTCTTTTTTTGGAAGATCAAAAACTCTTTAGGTGAAGAATTTGTTTCAAAAGCGCACAAAAAAAAGAAGATAAGAAATTGTTGTGACGAATTTTTTCGTTACTCAAAAAAATTTTTTTATGGTGAACTTGATAAAAAAGGCTGTGAAAATCAATTTAAAAAAAGTTTCCATTTTATACATTAAAATTCATATATATTTTCATGATAGTGCTAAATCATAACTAAATATTCTTTGTCGCGCCAAAAAAATATTTTTTATAAAAAACAATTTACATTTATTCAAACGCAGTTCATGTCATAGGCGTAAATTCCGTAATTCCGCCTGGAATTTCTTGTGACTCATTTTACAATGCTATTACTATCACATTTTTGTATCTAATTATACATCATTATTTTCATTATTATTATTATTATTATTATTATTGTTATCATTATCCCTATTATCATCACTATCATTATTAATTATTATACATTTGTCGTGTGTTTCTGCGAAGGTATTAATTGCCTTCGTCTGGTTTATTATCTTGATTGGACTTAAGTACCATTAGGATTTATTTTTGGGTGTATGTTACTTCAATAACTGACATATTTATGCAGAATTTTCTGCTATCTTAAGGTTGAGCACAATTTTTTTCCTTTTTCTCAATGAACAATACTTTTTTCAGCGCTATTCGAACTAATTTTATTTTATATTCATCAGATTTCAGGTGAAAAACGATATCTAGTTGATGTGAAGCAACATGTAGGAATGGTTTTAATTTTCACACTTCTTAATACTCAGGAAGATTTTGAGATTTGGTCAAAGATCGAAGACATGTGTATATGCGTGTGTGCTCTTATGTGTGAACTAATTCTTAGTTTTTTTTTCCGATATTAATTTCTTTTTAAAATACACGTTCAGATGATTTTCAATATTGGTTCTGATAATGCATTGTAAAGTTGAAAAAACTTGCAAAATCACATAGAACTTGTGTGGGAAAACTTTCAGATTATTTGATTTTCATGTGAAATTGTCAATTTCAAATACTTTTTTTAATACACTAACTTATTTGTTGGAATTTTACGTGGAAAAGCATGCAGTTAATGGTGAGAAAAGAATGGCAGCAGTAATTAAATAAGTGAAAGCACAATTATCGCGTACGTTTTGGCAAAAAGAGATAGAGAGAGAGAGATAGAGATAGAGATAGAGATAGAGAGAGAGAGAGAGATTAAGGAAAAGAATTGATGAAAACTGTGCTAAATAAAAATTACAGCTTCTGTAGCTGTAAAAGAGTAAAAAGATTCTCATTGAAAAGGTTGAAAATTGTAAAAAGATTTATGTTTAATGTTTGCAGAAACGTGGCAGTCATTCGCAGCGATAATGATTGATTGTGTAATATCTTTCTGTTGTTGATCATTTGATTTTTTTTTAATAATAATAAGAAATGAGTTTTAGTGTTCTTGTTTTTGATTTCTTTTGCAGCAGTTGGCTCTTTCCCAATATTGTTATCGATTTTGTAAAAACATTATTGAACCGCTGTCGATAAATAAAAAAATCGAATACAGCTATGATTGATTTCTTTTTTATCACCGACGATCTGCTGTCAATAATTTTTTGACTATTTTGTTCTTCCTTAACTCAAATTTGATCGTATTCCATCCATAATACAATGGTTGAATTGAATATAATGATATTTAGAAAGTGAAGATTTCAAGATGGATGATAGTGGTTATGTTACGAATTTTTTTATGTCGTTATTTTAGTTACAAAG